TCCCCCTCCCCCTCCCTCCCTTCCTCTTTTCCTCTACCCCCAACGCCCTCCACCTCCCATTTCTCAGTGAATATTTATTGAGAACCTGCTAAGAGCCAGAGACCATGCTAGTTGCTGGGCGTATAAAATAATTCAGGTGGGCTCTCTGGCCCAGGGAGTGCACTTTCCAGCTGGGATGATGCATGTGGATGTGTGAGAACAGTATTGCGTGGGGTTGGAGCTGCTCTGAGGGAGAAGGCTTGGTCCTTAGCCTTGCTCGTCCCTGTGTGATTTCATGTAACGGCTCAGGTTCCCTCCGCTGTTCACATCAGTGTTGGCTTTCTTGGGCCATGAGCTCCCTGGGAACAGAGATGAAGCCCCTTGTATGGCCAGGGCCTTCATACACGGCGATCAGAGAGTTATTCAGTGTGTAGATAACATAGGCCAGCAAGATGGTACGGCATGTATATACAAACTGCCAAAAGAAGAAATTTACATGCAGTTTGCAGATGAATGCCTTTCTTCATTGGTTTTTCCAGCTCCTGTCACATATAGAGAAACTTCGAACCTCAATGATAGATGATCTAAATGCAAGTAATGTATTCTACAAGAAAAGGATAGAAGAGCTAGGGCAGAGGCTCCAGGAGCAGAAGGAGCTGATCATCACTCAGAGACAACAGGTATTTTGGAGTATATATTGGCACCGTTTTTATGTAAACAGTGCAGTTTATCTAAGAACGTGTGTTTTTATTTTAGAGCACTTGTAAGTTGGATAAGATAAAGAAGATAGAATATTTTTTTCCCTGTGGTTGTCCGTATAAGTAAATAAAATAATTTTTAAAGGTATTTTAAAATACTGTAGAGCAATCAGATTTATTCAGTTAGAATTCAGAATAAACGTGAAGGTAGCTAAAATTTCTTTTGGTAATTCCTTACCAAAAGAAGCAGCTGAATCCAAATGCTGCTTTTATAAAACATTTGTCTCCATGTCATTAAAGTCCACATGTCCTGTGTCTGGAGGATTTAGTGAAAAGGTTCATTTACTGAGTACAGTATCTGTCCATTATCCAGTATGTCCCTGTCTAGTTCAAACATGGATCACTGAAAGACTATTCTTCTTTGCAGATTAAAGAGTTTACCAGTAAACCATTAAACAGTGTCAGTGAACCCAGAGGTAAGTGGACCAGGATCCCAGCGCTGGAGGCAAGGCGGGCCTCCCTAACCGTGTGCTGGACTTCAGAAGAATGTTGAGCCGCGATGGTTCATGAGTGCTAAGGTGTGCTAAGTGGTGCTAACCACAACCCAGAGAGTTGAAGAATTTTAAATACCTAAATTGTCATAGAATGGTCTCGTATCCTTTTTATCAGAATATCGTCATGCACATAATACATGCTTAGTAACTGTACCTCTGGATGGATGTGCAATAAGAGGCCTTATGATTAAAAGTACAGGGTCTGGGGGCAGACTGGGTTCAACTCCCATCTCTGGCGCTATGTAGCTTTGTGAGCCTCTGCCCCGGTTTCCTCAGCTCTAAAGCTGGAATATTAGTAGTAATTACGTCATAGGCTTGTTACAAGGATGAATGGGAGAACATGTGTAAAGAGCACCTGTTAAACACTCATGAGTGTTGGCTATCGTTATTAATATTAAACTCTTAATTATCCTAAAGTGCTATAGAGGCTTGCTGCATGATTCTGCATTGTGGTAGGCTGGGGTTAAGGGTTTGTTCTAAGTATAGTGGGGGGATATACAACCTACTGATGGTAGCAGTGATAGCCATCCATCTCCGTATCATTCAAGAGCTAGTCTAGAAGGGGGGCTGGGAGCCAGAAGTGCAGGGTCTCCCAATACAGCGTAAAGCTTGCCTTTTACCTGGTTTTCTTCCAAGTGATCCCAGTCTTGGTTCCTGTACATCTCAGGTTATTAAGGCATCTTTGTTTACTTGAGGGATGCCAACTGGGGATTGATAATGGGGGTTATGAGCTGGGTTTCCTCCCTGTCTCTGGGGACTATGGGAGATACGGGCATATCTCGGAAATATTGCAGGTTCAGTTCCAGACCACTGCAGTTAAGCCAATAATCACAATTAAGTGAGTCACACAAATTTTTTTGGTTTCCCAGTGCATAATAAAAGTTATGTTTATACTACACTGTAGTCTCTTAAGCGTACAATAGCATTATGTCTAAAAAAATACACATACATTAATTAAAAAATACTGTATTGCTAAAAATGCTAACCATCACCTGACAACGCAGGGTTGCCACAAACCTTCAATTGGTTACAAATGCAGCATCTTCGAAATACAATAAAGTGCAATAAGATGAGGTATGCCTGTACATTGACCTACACACTTGTTTCCCTCGTTTTGAGATAAAGCTTTGGGAAGGGTGGTGGTTCCCTATAACTTCTCTTGGAATAGTAAGAGTTCAGGTAGTGAGGAATAACTGTGTAATTACTTAGACAGCATACACATTTGAAAAATAATTTTAGAAAAAAGTTAGCTTTAAAAGATGTATGTTAAACATCTTTTTTTGGTAAGTCGCTATATGTTGGTAAAATTCATTGGTTTTTTGGGGGGGAAATATTAGGATATGCGCTAGCAAAATATAACCCATAGCGTCTGGTTTTTGTTATTAATTTACTTTTTTTTGTTATTTCAGGGAATCCTTTAACCTGGCAAACTTTTGAATCTAAGCCGACTACCCCAACTGTACCTAGTAAGTTTCTATAATAGGCTCAGGGTTCTAAAGATATTTTTAAAGTGCTAAACCCATACATAACTTCTACTTACTATTCTTAGAGACATTTCTTTGAACATCAGTGTGTTTGGAGATTATATAATGATCTATTTTGGTCCCCAGATTTGACCTAGTTCTACAACCCAATATTGTAAATATCCATGTGATTTTGTGGTGATTTGGGTTAGCCGTACCTGTTACCTTACTATTACCTTATTACCTTACCTGTTAACCTTATTCGCCTAATAAAGGAACAGCTAAAAGCTCTTCGGCAGCGCTGCAGTTTGTACTCTTGGATTTCCCAAGGTCATAACACTGTGACCACATGACTGTGTGTGGTGGCCACCACATTTTGGCATCACTGAGACCCAGTACTGCAGGGTTTGATGCGATGGTCCCACCAGTCACTCACTTGAAGTCAGCTCAGCACAGCTGTCTTCCGGAGCTGTCAGGATTTGGCCAGAATCCAAAAACACATAATCTCTACAGTTCAAAATGGACAGATTGTTTTCTTAATAATAAATAGTTGAAATATTTTTGTTTCCATTCAAGAAAGCATGCGTACAGGATCTGAATAACGGGGGAGAGGGCCTGCACCGAGGCCGGGCACTGAACAACCATTCATATGGGCCCAGGACTTGTGATGATGAAAGGACATTGATGAGCGCGTTTGGGCATGTGGCACAATTGACTGGAAAGGGCTAATTGTTTTAACTGCTCAGCTGCTTCTTGAGGCCTCTTGATGTTGATTCTGGAAGCTGAAGAGGTTGAGAGGTGCTCAGGAGGAGAGAGGGTAGTTTAAGTGCCAGGAGTAGAGCTGAGGGGAGAACAGAAGCATTTCAGAGAAGTATGGAAATTTAAAAGACACTCAATTATTATTGTTTATATTTTAATTATACTTAGCACAATATTGGAACAATAATGTATTCCAATAAAACTTTATTTACAAAAACAGGTAAGGGCTGGTATGTCCCACAGGCTGTAGTTTACCAAACCTGGATCTAGATTAGCAAGTTGTAAATGGGTTTGAAGGCCGTATTTCCAGAATTGTTAGCAGTTTACCCATAGTTAGGAGTTGAACACTTTCACACTAGCCATTGTAAAGACAAAATCGTATGCCTATAGGGTAGCTGAAGTTTGTGGCCAGTATTTTTTAGAATAGGATTAGAATTAAAGATCTATTCTAATAAGCTAGGGAAAGAGTCAGTAAACTAATAGATAAATAAATAAATAGTTGAGAGAGGAACCTCAGATAGGAATTGTCAAATATTGGAAGAGAGGCTGTAGAGTCTAATTTTCTGAGATATTTTGAAGTACGGGGTGTTCAGTCTTACTTGAATCAGGTATACTCCTCTCTGAAGGCTGTGGCTGAATTAATGCCTTCTCACGGTGTCTTCCAGCCCAGTGATTGGGGTAGTCTTTTTAATTGGTTTATTGTACATGAATATTCATAGCAGCATTATTCATAATAGCTAAAAAGTGGAAACAACCCAAACGTCCATCAACTAATGAAAAGATAAATAAAACGTTGTCTGTCCATACAGTGGAACATTATTTGGCCATAAAAGTACATGCTGATGTTGACACATGCTACAACATGGATGAACCTTGAAAACATGATGCTAAGTTAAAGAAGCCGATTACAGAGGACCACATATTTCATTGTATGATTCCATTTCTATGAAAGGACCAGAATAGGCGAATCCATAGAGACAGAAAGTAGATCAGTGATTGCCAGGGGCTGGGGGGAGGGAGAGATGGGGCTAATAGATACGGGTATTTTTGGGAGGTGTACATGTGGTGAGAATGTTCAAGAATTAGATAGTGGTTATGGCTGTACAACTCTGTGACTGTATTTTTTTTAATTTAATTGAAGTATAGTTGACTTACAATGTTGTGTTTAATTTCTGCTGTACAGCAAAGTTACTCAGTTATACATAAATATTCTTTTTCATATTCTTTTCCATTATGGATTATCACAGGGTATTGGATATAGTTAGTTCCCTGTGCTATACAGTACGACCTTGTTGTTTATCCATCCTATGTATATAATAGTTTGCCTCTTTGACTATGTTAAAACCCACTGAATTGTATATTTTAAGAGGGTGAATTATATTTCAATAGGCTGTTATTTAGAAATCGGTTTAGGTGAGTCGGTAATATCTTTGTCTTTTGTCCCTCATCGTCTGTATATATCTTGACTAATTTGACGAATATTTGGTTATCATCATGTTCAGGTGCTGACGCTATAATTACAGAACGCTGTGAGCTTTTTCTTTTTATGCTTTTTCAGTGAGTGCCCCAGCCCCACAGACTTTGGATGCTAAGTCAAGTCTAACAATGGCACATGGTAAGTTTCAGCAACGCCTCAGCGTTTTATGTACAGTTTCCACCCTGAGTTAGGTAACTTATTAACTGAAAGTGCTTCTGTGTGGGGTAATTATGCAAACAAAACGTTTTGGTGAATGCAAAACAGTTCATGAAACTGCAGTCTTCCTATGTAATGTTACTGTGAACTGATCATACCCACCAGTCGTAAAGTATAAAATGTATCTACTGCTGGGCTCACAGGTACAGATTTTAACTCTGGGTAGTACTTGGATCATTTATGATATTTGGGGGAAAGTCATAGGTATTGGGTAAGAGGATGACTTTCTACTAGACCAGCCAACCAGCACATGCCACAGGGCATATGTGACTGTTTTTATAACTTTCAATGTGGCAGCAAGTCACCTTTTTTAAACAAACAGTTTCAGTGATTGGTTGGAAAAAAAGCTAGAAAAGACATGTGATGGAAACCAAAAGAAAAAAGTAGGAACCACTGGATGAAACTGCTACCAGGATCCAGTTCTTGGCCCAGGCCACAGACTGATAATTGTTACTAACATGATCCAGTAGACAGGGTGAATATTTATAGACATGTTTTATTTTTATACAGCTAAGGTGCTAACAGTTTTTATAGTATCTTTTTCATATATTGTTTTCCTAAGGTCTGCTGTATATTAAATGAATTAGGATGGGAGGGGGCCACCTTTTTCCTGTCTTACCTGCAAATGCTTCTGGAATCTAATGATTACTTCATTCCACTTTTCTTTTTAGCCTGTTAGTTAGGACTTAAATCCATGGTCAGTCGAGTTGGACTTTTTTGTTTTCATAAATAATTTGCTCCATATATCATGGCCTTTTGTAATTATCGTTTTTACTCACTGACTGACTCATAAAGTGTTTATTGCCCCTTATTTTTTTCCTAAGATCATTTCAGGTGGATCAGTTCCCTTTGGCATGTGTTTATAATACGTACTGCATAAATTCTTCACATATTGGATGTTATTATTTACAAGTGTTTAGAACATGCAGGGTTTTTTCCTTTGAACCAGGAACAGAGATAAAATGTATGTTTGACCTGTAGAAATTTCTTTAATATTGAAGATATGAGAAAATTATCTCCGGCAATTATTCTCTATTCATTTTATTTATGTCAGGTCTAAAGTCTCTCTGTTGCCTCCTTTTTGAAGGTTGATTTTTTTTCCACTCTTTTTGAGATTCTGTTCCCATATAGGTCCATTACAGAGTATTGAATAGAGTTCCCTGTGCTGTTCAGTAGTAGGGTTGATTTTTACAAGGCATTGCTGGCTACTTCTTTTTTGTACCTCAACACGTGTTTTCGTTTCTTTTGTTTCCCACCTTGTTCTTGTGAGCCTCCTATCTGGTATTACACGAGGGCCATATTTTCTTCATTTTATATTTTTGGTACCCGATAAAGGACTCATACAGTAGGCATGTAATGCTCTCTGGGGCTGATTCCAGGGTCCTGACAAATCTGTCAGTCCTAGAGCACTGTGTCCTGTGTGGACCCTGGCCTGAATCAGCCATGCCCCCTTGCTGGCATCTGTTGGGATTGAAATGCTCGTTTTAAATGCCAGCCAGACCTGGCACGAGGCCCACAGCCCTTGGATTGGGATCAAAGCTGATTTGTGAGCATCTCAATGGGCAGGGGCAGAGGAGGAGGCTTGGTGGCGGCCCACTGCCTGGCCACCCCCAGCTGTGGCAGCTTCCCCGGGTGCTGGGGGGCAGGGGCACAGGGAGGGTTGGTCACGTATCGCACAGCATTAATTAGCCCAACTTCCTCTCTGTCTTTCCCTTTGTTCTATCTCAAAGCTTGATGAGGTCCTTTACCATGAAAAATCTCATGATTACTCACCGGCTGAGGTTGGGTTCCCTGAGACGCAGACTCTGGGCTGGAGGTTTGCGGGTGCTATCTGGGCAATGCTCTCAGACAACACCTGTGAGAGAAGCAGGGTTGGGCGTTAAAGGGATGTTGATCCCAGATGCAGCTGCAGCGGAGGCCTCAGCAGGTCTGACCAGGAGCTTTAGAGCTGGGGTGGGCACTTTGGAATTTTCCTGGATTGAGGCCGTCAGTTATAAGACATGGGTTGCCCCAGGGAGGGGGCACGCTCCTTTCAGCTGAGACAAAGCAAAAAGTAGAAGCAAAAGGTGGCAGGAAAGCACTGGATGTGAGTTATTGGTGCAGACGAATTGTTTGGCTGAGCATAGAGTATGCAAAAGAGATTTGAGGGGCTTCCCTGGTGGCACAGTGGTTGAGAGTCCGCCTGCCAATGCAGGGGACATGGACATGTGTTCGTGCCCCGGTCCGGGAAGATCCCACATGCTGCGGAGCGGCTGGCCCCGTGAGCCATGGCCGCTGAGGCTGCGCGTCCGGAGCCTGTGCTCCGCAACAGGAGAGGCCACAACAGTGCGAGGCCCGCGTACCACAAAAAAAAAAAAAGAAAAAAAGAGATTTGAGGGACAGGCTGGTTCAGGTTGTTCACGGCAACCACTGAGTGCTGGGCTGAAGCTGTTTGGGTCGTCCTTGTGGCATTTTGTAGCTGCTGAATGTTCTGAGGCTGAGCATGGCAGGATTGGAGAGCTGGGCTGCAGGAAGCTTAGCCTGACCGATGCGTTCAAAGAACCTGAGCTGGGAGATCACTTGGGTATGTTAGAAACAGTCTAAGAGATTCCTCACCTAAGAATCGGGATGTGGTGATGAAACAGAAGGAAGTGGACGTAACAGCTGTTCCATGGGATTGGTGGAAAGGCTGTGCAAGTGATTGGGGGCCGAAGGTGAGAGAAGGCTCAGAACATGATGAGCTCAGGTACTGGGTGGACGGTGGTGCCATTCAGAAAATTCCGGAAGATAAACCCAGCAGCACCAGTAGGGAAGCACTGGGGCTTCATGGCCAAGAGTCTGGAGTTTGGAAGCAGACAGTCTGGTTTCATGGTTGACTCATGAAACTGTAGGGGCCTAGGTTTCCTTACCTGCCAAACGGGGAGAAGAGTCTTGGCTACCTCAGTGGGCTGCAATACGCGCAGAATGAAGCAAGGCCTTTGGAGCAAAAGCCAGTGAGCAAGCACTGGCTAACCGTTAGCTTCTAGGGTAGGGGTGATGAGGTCCAACAGAGTCAGCCACTGGAGAGAGGGCTTGGTGAAAGTCTGGGAGTTTTTCTTCTGGAGGTAATGGTGGGAGACAGACATAAGGATTTTTCTGGAGGCCTTTGGCAAGTTCGGAGGGGAAACTCAAGCCCCCAAGAGTTTCAGCTCTCACCCTGGAGATCTCAGCTCGGGGCAGGAACTGGAGGCTGGACCTGTGGCTTATAAAGCATGAGAATGGTAGGCCTTCCCTCCCAGTTTGGGACGTCAGTCTGCTTTGGGAGCTGGGGTCTGGTCAACCTCACTTCCTCAGCCTTTATTATTATAGGAGCCCAGGTTCGGGAATCTGCCCCTCCTCCGCCCTCTGCATCGCTGCAGGAAATGTCAGGTTTTGACAATTAATCCTGACTCAAGAGACATAAGTCATAGGATTATCCCTGTAATATAATGATAATAAAAGCCTATGATGATTTTGTAAATTTTATAAAACTTTTCCTCATAACTTTATTCTTGTCATTTTCATAAAGTACAATAAAATATAAACCATGTGAATTAAAAAAATGAGATCAGCTTAATCCTCCTAAAACCTGTTTTCAGCAGTTCAAACTAGTAGAATAGTCTGTTTGTATAACTTTATTTTTTAAATTTTTAAATTTTTTATTGAGGTATAGTTGACATATAACATATTAATTTCAGGGGTACGATATAATGATTTGACATTTGTATATGTTGCAAAATGATCAGCACAATAAGTCTAGGGCTTCCCTGGTGGCGCAGTGGTTGAGAGTCCGCCTGCCGATGCAGGGGACGCGGGTTTGCGCCCCGGTCCGGGAAGATCCCACATGCCGTGGAGCGGCTGGGCCTGTGAGCCATGGCCGCTGAGCCTGCACGTCTGGAGCCTGTGCTCCGCAACGGGAGAGGCCACGGCAGTTAGAGGCCCGCGTACCGCAAAAAAATAAGTCTAGTTAACATCCCTTGCCACACATAGGTACACATTTTTTTTCTTTATTTGTATAACTTTAAAATCTTGATGCTGAATAACAAATATGAAAGCACCTTTTTGATGTTCAACAGTTGTGTTACATGGATGGAATTACATGCTCCTTTGTGGGGCCATGTTTACATTTCAAAATTAAAGTGGACTCCTATTTACTAATAGGCTGTGTTCCAAAAGTTCATTTGAAAGTAGTTTAAAATGCATTTCTCCCATACAGTCAATGTCAGATATGTTGAGTAGATTGCTGAACAAGCTGTAAGAGCCTATTTTTAAACACCTAAATATAATACGTATTTATTTGTATATTCCTATTATATGTGTGTGTGTGTATATTTGTATATGCCTAAAATAGAGTATCAGAAACACCCTTTAGTAAATTAAAAGCCAGACCTTCAAAGTAGGAGGTAGTAAATCCGAGGTGATACGTGCAAAGCTCTTAGGTCTGTGCCTGGCAGCCCGGTGAGCACTCAGGAATTGTTGCTCTCATTAGCCTCCCCACTCGCCCACCCTGGGGTCTGGTGGCAGGATGAAATGACCCCCGTTTTGTGGGAGCAGGTGGAGAGCTCTCTGGGCAGGTGCCCCATGTCAGTCTCCAGGCTGAAGATGAGGGGCCCAGGCACCTCCTAAGTCAGACTTTTGGTTGCATTTCATTCTGTGCCTAATGCCTGACTGCTGTGGTTAGTTAGACCTTCAGCCAAAACCTGGAGAACCAAGAAGGAGCTTTCCCTCTGTTGATCGGATGGGGTTTGCTTTATCTGTGCTGCCTGCGGGTTTCCTTGTGTGGGCACAGTGACATTTCCCTGGGAAGTCACCCAGAGGCCTCATCTCCGCCGGCCACTGTTCTGGGGTGGGATTGGGAAAAGCCCATCTTCGTTTCTCATCTCCTCACCTTCACCCTGGTGACTCTCTGGGAGCAGAACTAGGTCTTGAAACGTGGTTTAGGGACACGAAGGTGTATAAGAATGGGTCTTGGTCCTACTGCTGACCCCAGGATACCTCTCCTTGCCCTTTTACCATTCTGGTCCTTCCACTTAAAGACCCTGGGGCTGGCAAGAAGTGGGAATCCCAAGGCCCTGGGAATTTTTAATGTTTTTATCTTTGGAAATTGAATATTTTCAATAATTTTCTATCTAGCCACCTGGTCAAGATACAAGGAAAATATTTTTAGGGATAAGTGAAGGAGATCTTTTGCAGTTGTGTTCTTGTGCCTTAAAAAAATCATGTCTGGCACTAAGTTGATGAGGAATAAATTTTAACTTTATTATTTAAAATGTAATTTCCTGAGAGTGGAGTTAACAGAAAATACGTAGCAAGGGAAGATACTATGGAAAGGCGACCAGCTTTAACTGGCTGCCTTAATATTTTTTTCCCAGTAAATTCTTGCTATTTTAGGCATGGTTAAAATACTGTGGAACGATATCTTTCAAAATTGTTTGAAAGGAACTAATTTTACTTTGCTGTCGTCCTATTTGTACTATTCTTATTTTTCCTCATTAATAGAACAGGCATTCTCATCGCACATACTGGAACCAATAGAAGAACTTTCAGAGGAAGAAAAAGGTAACAAAGAGGGGTTATATCTGCATCAATCACATTTAGATGCTAAAACCCAAGCCTTGGAAGTATGGTTCAGTGGTTTTTATGGTAGTGTATCAAAATTAGGGAAGACATTTAGGTTTGGATTACATTTTCAATCTACATGTACTATTCTGTCATCCTATTCCCCCAATGTGCTGTTATATTTTTCCCCCACTTTACTGTTTCTTAACATATGAATAAGAAATTTCCTGTGCCAGTGAACTTGAAAAAAAATTTTAAGCCTTTATGTCAATGCAGAGATTTTTTGATCAGATGACAAGTCAACACAGTTGTGTGCCAGATTATACAAAAATATTCATATCACAGTAGTTATTTCTCATGCCCTGAATCTATGAAATGAATAGGTGAAGTGCCCATTTCAAAAATTGATTTTAATAACAAGGAAGGCATAATGCCTAAGCCCTGAATGTGGAATATTTACATGCAGAATATCTTAATGGCAGAATTTGGGAGCTGTTACAGGTTTGGGGAGATAATTAAGATTATTACTGCTTTCTCATCTTATTTGGTAGTAATAATAAAACTTATTTTCTACCAACTAATCTTTGAAGTTTATGAATATTTACATTATTAAGAATATTTTCTAATGCTAGATTTATCCTAAAACAATTATGTTCGAATCAGTTTATCATAATTTTCTCCTTAGTAATAATAATGCTTTACCATATTTCGCTTCTTTAGGAGAAAGCAAATTGTTAATATTTACATAGGCTCTGGTTTTGTCATTTTTGTTAGGAAGAGAAGTAAAATTATATGTTCTAGTATGTAAATTCCTGATATTTGTTATAACTGCTTATGTGTTCTCTAGACAGTTTCCAGTTGTTTTGTTTGTTTGTTTGTACAAGGCTACAAATTGAGAAGGGACTACATCAGGCATATCTATAACATCTACATGATGTGTATTTTCATTTTACTTGCATGTAACATGCTTTCTCTCTCCTACATAAGTATCATTTATTGATGTCTGAAACACAAAATCCCTTATTCTCAGAAGAATCTATGAAATGTATCAGGAGGTTCATAGATAGGGTCCAAAATTTTGAAACTGGAATCGCAAGTCATGTAGTTCACACTCATTTAAAAATGAGTCAGCTGGTTTCCAAGAGGAATCCTGATTTGTCCATCATCCCCATTTCAGTTCCAGGTTTCACCCACTGCATATTCTGCCTGTGTTTCTTTTAGAAGTCTACCTAGACCATGTAAGGCATGAGTTAGGGATCGTTGACAGCAAACACCATCATCGGCTGTTGCCACATTTAGGGAACTGCGTTGGGAAAGAAAATAATCTTTGCTACCCTCCACGCGTTCAGACACAGCTCTGGTGAGGGACGAGAAAGTGCTGAGGACCGCTGAGAACAGCCAAGTCCCAGCGCACTGTCACAGAAACCAGTGACCGCATCTTTCTGGTGCCTCCGTGGAGCCAGCATGATTGATTGCCATCAATAAATTCCTCAGCTTGTGCCAACATTTGCAGACAAAGGCCTGTGCAGATAAATCTTAGCAATGGTTTGCAAAAACAGTACAACTTTTTACCAGGAAGTAACTCATATGAGACTGTTTCTTCATCCTTACTTTCTGACAGTTGTGTTGAGACAGACTTGATCTTGCCGTTCTGTAAGATGTTAGAATGTGAGGGCCAGGAGGGATCTTAGGGGCTATTTTATTTTTCAGAAACTTGAAATATGGGGGGATTAGGAGCTTACTCCAGGTCGTCGAGTTTAATTAGTGACAGTGCTGGAACTAAAGTCCCGGTTTTCTGTTTTCCGTAGTTTAATGCAAAGAACAAAGAGATGGAGGAAGGCAAACTGGTCCGGCCTTTGCAGGACTGGCTGGGTCGCCTTTGGGGAAGTCTCTTTACCTCTGGTTTTAGAGTCCTCGTGTGAATAATGAGGAGATGGAGTACTAGATGATCAAGTCCCCTCCAAGTCAGAAATTCTGTTGTGTTTTGCTTCGTTTTGCTTTTTGTGCATTTGTTTTGTTTTTTACTACTTGCTTTGCGCTACAATTATTTGCTTACCATAAATGGTGTGTTGTAAGTCTGATGTAACTGATCACACGTGTGCGTTAGTCTGGCCATCTGCTTGGGCATGCTTTAAAATTTTTAATTGGAGGAAATGCTGATCTCTAGAATATTTTGTCTTGTTGATCTTGGTGAGCAGTACGTGCTTTATTTAAAATCTTCAGCTCTGATTGTCTTTCAAGTAATTCATTTCACCTTTACATGAAAACTTTATTATTATTTTTTCCTATCCACTCTACCTTCTTTCTCTCGCTTCTGTCGGCCAGCCCCAGCCTTGTAAGAGTTCTTCCTATCAAGGGTTTTCTAATTATTCACAAATGGCTTTCCAAAGCAAGCACAAACAGGTAAAGGGAATTTGAGGACAGAGGGAAATGTTTAATCTTCCGTCATATGGGGGAACTTGGAAATCAAAATGAACTTTTCTTCGGGGGTTGAGGGTTGAGGTTGACTGGTTGAGACCAGTCAGCAAATGAATTCAGTTACTGCCATCAAAGGCCTTGCAACTCTTCTAGACTGGCAAATCCATCTGGGCATCACTTGACCCCTGTATGTGGCCCCATGTCCCAGAGCCTGTCTTCAAGCTGTACTTCTGTGTCATTGCTTATATCTGAGATGCTGGCCAAAGAATTTTCTTTGCCTAATTGGGGTGGGAGGTGCATCTATTTCCATGGTAGCTCCATGACTTCCAGGTTCTCTCCTGGTACGTCCTTTTACTTTTAGCCCCAGACAGTTGCAGACTTGATGGCCAACCAGCAGCCAAAGCCAGTGACAGCTGTGGCTGCAGCTAAGCCCTCTAGATTCTGATGGATTCAGTTCCTAGGACAGAAGTGTTTGTGTGTGTGTGGTTTCAGAATAGTGGAAAAACATTGGTGGTAAAACAACAGCATGAATGCTGACAGTATAAAGTTTAAGATTACTTCTGATTTTTATTCATATAGAATCACATAAAATTTCATAATTTTGATTTAGCAAGCCACCGAAGCAAAGTATAGAAGAGCATCATCATGCAGGATTTTCCCTCCTATTTAATGTACAAATAGCAATTTGACCAGTTTTGCCTTCAGCAAAACTGTTAATTAACGAACAGAAATATTCTTTACTACTGGACTTGACTAGTATTTAGAAAACATCTTAACCAAAGGGCATATTTTCAAGATCTGCAAATCCACATGCCATCAGAACCTAAAAATTCCATCTGCTGAGGTGGATAAGACCACGGAACAATGGAGTATCTGTGAGGACCTGCCTGCAGCCCCAGACCTAGGCAGTGGCATCTGGTGCCCCCTCCTTTGGGCGAAGTTCTTTTGTTAGGAGAATAGACTTCAAATGATAATAGTACCATTGTCACATTCTCCCAGATCTGCCTTTGGATGTTCACGAAGGGTCTCAACTACCCAGCACTGAGTCTGTTTCCTTGAGGCTTCAGTTTCCTTTGACATAAGGACTCAGTTCTTCAAGGTCGTTGTAATCATGCCCCTTTCTCCAAACCCTCTTAAACTAGATGTTTTTTTTGGTAGGGAATAAAAGGAATAAGGAAAGGAACATTAGGAGAATCTGGCCTGTTATTTTTCTTTGTTTTTAATTATAGGTTGTTTTAAGGAAAATATACTTTTCCTAAGACTTTTTTTAATTTCGTTTTCATTTTGGTAAGTATTTTGAGAGGCATCATAATCTTCACGTTTTGAAATTTTATGTGAACTTAACCTCCACTAAATTTATTATATAAAAACTTAATTATTTAAAAGACATAGGGCTTTTTCTTCATTAAATGATACCTAAACTCTAACTGAATTTAGGAGTAATGAATTCTTGAGGAAGTAGTAAGAATAATTTTAGGATTAAACATTAAACTTCTAAGTAAGTTTTTTCGACTTTGCTTCTCTAGAGACCTATTTCTCACATTATTTTCTAGCTATAATTTGATTAAGTGATCAAGAAAGTCTTTAAAGATACTGAAGTTTTGAAGCAGACTTAAGGTAGTTTTTTTTTTTTTTAAATAGCATTACTTGGGGCTTCCCTGGTGGCGCAGTGGTTGAGAGTCCGCCTGCCAATGCAGGGGACGTGGGTTCGTGCGCCGGTCCGGGAAGATGCTACATGCCGCGGAGCGGCTGGGCCCGTGAGCCATGGCCGCTGAGCCTGCGCCCGTGAGCCATGGCCGCTGAGCCTGCACGTCCGGAGCCTGTGCTCTGCAACGGGAGAGGCCACAACAGTGAGAGGCCCTCGTACCACACACACACACACACACACACACACAAAAATATATATATATATATATATATATATATAGCATCACTTGACTATTTTTATTTTTTTAACATCTTTATTGGAGTATAATTGCTTTACAGTGGTGTATTAATTTCTGCTATATAACAAAGTGAATCAGATATACATATATCCCCATAAGGTAGTTTTAAAAGCTGCAGTACTTAAGCATTATATATTGTGCTGAATGACTAAACTATTCAAAAACTTTAAAACATTCCAAATGCTTGCTTGCTGTTTTGAAGTTGTGTTTTGCCATCTCCTGCTTAGAGGTTTAATGTATTTGTTTAATTCCTTTTTAATATGTTATAAAAACTTATTTCAGGAAAGGAAAATGAACAGAAATTAAATAACAAGATACATTTAAGGAAAACTTTGAAGAATAACCCTTCCCTCACTAAGGAAATAAGAACAGTCTTGGAGCAGAGTTTGGTGGAGAAACTGGAAACCTTGGGGATTAGTGCAGTAAGTTCACCCACTTTGGGGATATTTGCTGTTTTGTTTTGTCTTGTTTGGCTGTACCGCGTGGCTTGCGGGATCTTAGTTCCCCGATCAGGGATCGAACCCGGGCCATGGCAGTGAAAGCGCGGAGTCCTAACCAGTGGACTGACAGGGAATTCCCTATTTTGTTTTCTAAATAAGAAAGGATCAGAGAAGAGAAGAAGGCATGTCAGTTCTGTCACATATGGAGATCGGAGGCTAATGTGACATGATGCATTAAACACTTCAGCTGGCATTCACTGGGTGCCTGGCACCTTTCAGAGAGCTTTCCAGATAGTAACTCATTTAAACATAGAAACTAATCTCTTAGGTAGGTGACAATATCATCTGTATTTTACAGAGAGGTGAAGTAACTTGCTTCAGGTCACATGTTCGTGATGAAGGAGCCAGGGTTTGCATCCAGGCAGTTGCAGGGCTGCTTACATTCTGATGTTAACTCCGAATTACTGCCTGTTACAAAATCAGCACTTAAGCTACCCTTATTAAATGAATGGATGAATGAATTGTATTTCACGTTGTTGCCAGATTGAATCGTTCTGTACATCATGTTATGTATACTCTTTGCTTTTTACATTTTTCATCACATACATAAAATACACAAACTTAATTGAACAACCTGAATTTATATACCTGTGTGTGTGTATACATCACATGTGCATATATGTATGTGTATGCAAAAGTATGTATGTGCATGGAATGTGCACAGATATGTGCACATGTACATGTGTGCATAACGTACATGCAATGCATGTATGTTTATGTGTGGCTATGTGTATGCAGGTCTGTGTATTTGCACGTGTGTGGATATTGTGTATACGTGTGTGTGCACAAATCTGTGTATGTATATATGTATACGTGTATATACACATGTGCATGCATTTGTATGTATCTGAATGTATGTGTGTGTATACACATATACGTGTGTATACAGATTTGTATGTATGTGGGGGGGGGGTGTGTGTATGATCTGAACCACCACCCAGATTAAGAAAGAGATCCATCATTGCCAATACCCTAGAAGACTCTCTTTTGCTTTCCTTAGTCAATATAACTCCGTACTCCCCAGCCAGAGGTAATGGCTATTCTGACTTAGTTTTTTTTTTGTTCTTGAACTTTATAGGAGTGGCATCCTACACTGTGTTTTATTTTGCGTCACTTCTTTTGCTTATGATTTTTCCTGTAAGATTCATACTTACTGTTTCATTTAGCAGTAGTTTGTGGTATAGTATTCCATTGAATGAATATACAACATTTTCTCTATTCTCCTGTTGATGGACATTTGGATTTTCAGTTTTGGGCTCTTTTTGGCCATTACATTCTTGTGTATGTCTTTTGGTGGACATAGGCATTCCTTTCTCTTGGCTGTGTATTTAGGAATGAAATTGCTGAGTGTAAGAGTATACATGTTTAATTTTAATAGGTGTAGCCAAATAATTTTCCAAAGTGTAAAAGTTTACACTTTCCCTATCAGTGTGTGAGAGTTCCAGTTCCAGTCTGCATATGGTTTTTGGGTTATATATTTTATTTGGAACATTTCCTTTTATCCTAAGATTATAAAAACACGCTATATTTTTTTCCAATGCTTACATAGTTTTTTTGTTTGTTTACTTTTTTTGTCTATCTGGGCTTTAACAATTAAGTTTGGAAACAATGAGTTAGAGATCTAACCTTATTTCCAGTTGGATCAGTTGTCTCAATATCTTTCGTTGAGTAATCCACCCTTTCCTCGTTTGTTCGATATAGCAGTTTTATCATATAGGACATTTTATGTACATTTGGATTTATTTTTGGACTTTCAACGGTTCTGCCCTTTCAGCTATTTTTTCTATTCCTTTGCTAACACCATACTGGTTTAATTTTAGTAACTTTGTCCTGTACCTTAGTATCTGTTATAGGTCATGCCTTTTTCATTAGTCTTATTTCAAAAGTTTCTTGGCAGTTCTTCCATATTTTGTTTTCCAGTGAACTTTAGAAAGAGCTGCTGCAGTTCCAGAATAACCCCTGTGGGGATTCTTATTGGACATGCCTTAAATTTTGTGTATTATTTAGGAAGAACTGACATTTGTACAGTATTGGGTCTTGCCATCCAGCTGCAGGGTACAGGAAGACATATTGAACACCTGCTCACACAAACAGATGGTAGATCCATAATGACAGATTGTAGGATGTGAAATGAAGGAAAAGTAGAGGGGAATGAATAACTGAGGTCAGAGAAAACTTCTTGGAGGTAGCAGTTGATCTGATGATGGAGATTTCTGTCCCCTGGGCAACTGGGTGGGTGGTGGAGCCGCTTCCTGGGATGGGGAAGACTGAGGGGAATGGTGGAGAGGAGATGGGAGTGTGTGTGTGACACTGATATTGAATAAATGAATAAATAGCTCTTTAACTGGTTTTCTTCTGTCTAGATACCCTTCAAATCCAAAAGAATTTTCTCAAATCACCTCTTAAATTATGGCATTTTCCTAATTGAAAACCTCTGAGGATTTTCGCTTATCTGTGGAATAACCAACCTTTAAGCTTTTCATTTTGGCATCAGTCTCCTTTTCTGCTCTCCTCACCCATTCCTCTGTAGCATTAACCACTAGACATGCCTTGACTGTTTCCCATTGCCTGCCTTTCCCACAAGGTGATCCCACCCATCTGGAACACTCCCTCTTTCTACTTGTTTCACTCCACCCATCCTTCAGGCACAACCCAGCCTCCCCCTTAAGGCTTCTTGGCCCAGTGGGGCCTCTGACAGCCCCTCTCCCTTAATTCCTTTAGCCCTTGTGGACTCATTCAGTCCTTGTCACACACCTTGCACTGTTGGTTAATCAGTCACACACACGCCTTCCATGCATTTGGTCCTGGCCCCTACAGCCCCGTACCTTAGCCAGTCACGTACAATCATACACGTTATGTGTCCCACTGCCCCGTGAGCTCCTTTTGGGACCGGGACCAGGTGTTATATGTCAGGGCATCCCTCACCTTACATGCAGCAGTAAGGACAAAAGGTTGGCATGGTTAATGCTGACAAATGTCCATGAAATGAAACACATCCCAGGATAATTGATTAACTTAACATTTTATTCCTTCAGGATATACGTGGTATTCCAAGTGACCACTTGAATAGAGTGCTAAGAACCGTAGAATCAGCAAGACATGAGCGAGAAAGACAAATACCTAACATTCAGCAAATTCGTGAATTCCTTGAACATCAGGTCAGCCGTAAAACTGAGGAGAGAACACTACTGTCCACAGGTAAGCCTGCTACCAACTGCCATTTCATTTCTGCAGATGGGAGCAAAATAGAACAACCATTTCATAATTTTCAATGGTTCACAAACCTTGGAACTTAATTGGCAACTCTATTATTGTTTGAACCATGAAATGTTGGGTCTTAGATTATGTTTTTTACATTAAAAACCCCCTGTAGTGTGGAGTCTAGACCCTTGAGACAGGCTTGTTCGTTTCAGTGCCAGCATAGACAGTATTGTAGTATTTTATTCTGCTTTTCACGTCATGGAGACTCACGAATGACACTATTCCAGACAGGTACAGTGCTTCTCAAGTGGACACCCTTTCAACTGGAGAAATACCCAAAGCAATACATCTTCCTCTCAAAAGCAGACAGTTGGTTAGACAAAAACCTGTTTTTACCGATAGGACATCTGTTCCAAAGTGAGTATTTTCAAGCCTAAAATTTTTTTATTAACGTTCGTCTCAGTCAGCTCGGGCCGCCATAACAAACTACCATAGACTGGGTGGCTTAAACAACAGAAATTTATTCTCTCACACTTCTGGAGGCTGGAAGTTTGAGATCAGGGTGCTGGCACAGTCAGGTTCTGGTGAGGTTTCTCTTCCAGGACCCACAGATGGCCATCCTCTCACTGTGTCCTTACATGCCAGGGAAAGCAAGAGAGCCCTGGTCTCTCTTCGTCTTCTTATAAGGACACTAATTTCTTCATGTGGGCCCCATCCTCATAACCTCATCGAAACCTAATCACCCCATCTCCAGATACCATCACACTGAGGGTTAGGGCTTCAACATATGAATTTTAGGGGGCCACAAACATTCAGCCCACAGCAATGTTTGACCCAACAGAGAATCACACTTGGAATGCTTACCCATCTCTCGTTGTCTCAGGGAGAGTTGCCGCTGCTCACCCTTTAATAAAGCAAAAAATCACCAATTCCTTAGAAATATATATATATATATATATATATATATTTTTTTTTTTTTTTTTTTTTTTTTGGTATGCGGGCCTCTCACTGTTGTGGCCTTTCCCACCGCGGAGCACAGGCCCTGGACGCGCAGGCTCAGCAGCCATGGCCCACGAAATCTGTTTTAAATTACATTATTCACTTACACCAGAAATATTTTTCTCTTGCTTTTAGAGTTAAAAAAAATATCACAGAAGATCATTTTCCCAGAAAGTCTTCAACTGTTGCGTGAGTACTGAGGGAGCAGGGGGTGGTGATGTTTAAAAATTCTTTTCACTGAACATTTCTTTCATTGTAAATTAGTATGTTTGTTGTGGTTCACTAGAGCCGTAATTAGTACACATCATATTTAATCTGTGATTCCTTTGTTACATCTTTGTTTCTTTATCAGATATTACCTGGGTCAACAGTACTTATCCCGTGTGGCCTCCATTAACAAGTGGGACCACACCTGAGTCATTTCTGTTATTTTTTTTCCCCCAACTGCCCACCTCCCGCCCGGTGTCTAGTAATGTTCGATAAATGCGTGATGTTGCTTTTTAATGTCTGGATCCGTGATAGTGTAGCCGGATGATATTTTAGTGTTCTAGCTCCTTGTGGAAGTTGATAATGGCCCTAGACCTTACTCTTTTAGGCTCTCTTATGATACTAAGAACCCTAGCTCAGTCATTCCTTAACTGTGTGACACTGATTCAGTGGCTTGCCTGTTAAAAAGGCTCTGTTTTCTTATCTGTAATATGGGACGATGCTACCTTTTTCACAGGATAGTTCTACAAATTAAATGAGAACATATGAAAAGGGCTCAGCCTCAGTACTTGGCCCATGTGGGTACTCAATAAATTGTAGGTATATTATTGTTATTAATTGAGTAAAACTAATTTTATAATAATTGAATTCATCATCATTGACTTGTTCTGGCAATATTGATGCTTTATTTCTTCATTAAGCCATTTTGTATATATACTAGAGACAGAATAAATATATTAAAGACAGTGTAAATAATAATTCAGCCTTCAAAAGTACTTTTCATGTACATAATCTCATGGGAAGAGCCTTATTTCATGGGATGTAGTGTAACTGAACGTTGTATGGAATTTAGGTGCTCAATGAATTTTTTTTTTTTTTTTTTTTTTTTTGCGGTACGCGGGCCTCTCACTGTTGTGGCCCCTCCCGTTGCGGAGCACAGGCTCCGGACGCACAGGCTCAGCAGCCATGGCTCACGGGCCCAGCCGCTCCATGGCATGTGGGATCTTCCTAGACTGGGGCACGAACCCACGTCCCCTGCATCGGCAGGCGGACTCTCAACCACTGCGCCACCAGGGAAGCCCTCAATGAATATTTTTTAAATGAGTGAATACCACTCTGAATTTCTGTTTCACTTTAAAATGGGGTGATAATTCACGTGATGATACGAATGAGATTACGTATTTATGTAAAAGTCCTTTGTAGGGTGCCGGGTAAAGGTAAGCCATAAGTAGTGACACTATTTTAAAAGATGACATTGTTTTATTGCAAAAATATTTTTTTCCACTGTGAAATATTTTTCTTAGGTGTGTAAAAACCAATATTAAGAATATACAGATTTGGGCTTCAAGGAGTAATGTCCTAACTTCAGCACATTTTGGTAAATACGCCATGTGGCTGGCAGGTCTGGATTTGAAATGACTCTTCAGCCCTTTGTGGCCCTGGCTGCCATCTTGTTCTGTGGCTACATGGGTGTCTATTATGCTCTCTGGAGAAAATTCCCACTGCTTTAAGGGACACATGGTAAATCCTGAAACTTAGGGAAACAGCGTCCCCTATTTGGGTTTTGATTTATTTAGGACCCCTCCCTTCAGTTCAGAGGAAGAGCTGGATGATGAGGACCTCATCCAGGCCTGTGTCTCACCAGACTTACTTCCTGTGCTGTCATCTAAAAGCAACAAGAGTAGCTTTGGAAGGAACACCGTCAAAAGTGACACTGACTGGACTGAGGGAAGTGAAGTTGAGGACTCTGCTATTTCTCCCAAGCCCACAGGTAAGCCTTTGTTATTGAAAACCCCTCTGGAAATTTTGTTTAGGACAGTGGTTCTCACCTGGGGGCACCAAGCACTGGGGAGTCTGAGCTGAGAAAGTGCCTGAGGAAAGGATGGGGCTAATCCAAAAGCTGCTGCCGCCTAAAGAAAATGGACAGGGCTTAGCAGGTAATTGATATTCAAGTGGAAGGAGAGGAAGGGGTTGGGGACGCCTGGATGTATTCGTAACAAATATAAGGGCTGCTGAAACAAACTACCACATACTCTGTGGCTTAAACTACAGAAACTTACTGACAGGAGCTGGAAGGCCAAAATCAAGGTGGCAAGGTTGGTTCTTTTTGAGGGCTGTGAGGAGAGGATCTAGTCTGTGCTTCTGTTCTTGGCTTGTGGATGGCTATCTCCTCCCTGTGTCTGGTCACACTGACTTTCTCTGGGTGTGCATCTATGTCCAAATTTTCTGCTTTTGTAAGGGCACCAGTCGTATTGGATTAGGGTCCACCCTAATGACCTCACCTTAACTTGATTCTCTCTTTAAAGGTCCTACCTCCAAATAAGGTCACATTCTGAGGTAATGGGGGTAAGGACTTCAACATATGCATTTGGGACACGATTCAGCCCCTAACACTGGGTGACCTTGAGACTGCCTCACTGAAATTAAAGTTTCTGACCATGTACTTGAATGAGACCATCCTTCTCTGATTTAAATGTTTTATTCTTCTAGTCTAGAGGAGCATGATTTCTTTAAAGGAAGTATTTGCAAAGCTTAGACTCTCTCAAATTGTTTGTAAGGCTATTTTGGAACTGAAGATAAATATAATTTTTTTTTAACTTCACCTATTTTCTGTGGCTCCTATAGGAACCTCCATTAAAACATTAACTGGAAAAGTTGAAAAGACAGTTTCAGATCACAGAAGTGTGAATAAGCCGGTTGGTGGGCTTAATGTTGCTGAGGCGTTCATCAAAAAATCACAAAAAGAAGATCTAAAGGTGATATCACTTTTACTTGCTAAGCACACACAAATTCATCTTTTAATGAATATACCTTAATAATTGTATTTTTTACAGTGAAATGTAAAACAAATATAATTAGTTAGTATAGTAGAGGTTGAGATTTTTACATTGTCTTGTTTTCAGTATCGTATTTCTTCCTATTCCATAGAGGATCAAAGATAGTGAAAGGATAACTGGTAATGATGTCCTATGCTTATCAAGTTTTACAGGTTTTCACAATCCTGTCACGTGTATTATTTGACGTTTGCAGATATTAGGTAGTTTGTTCACAGAAACTTGTGACTGATTAGAATCTGGGGACTTCAGATCTGAGTCTAGGAACCTTTCTGCCACCGTGGCGAGACCTGGAAGTGAAATAGGGACTTCCAGGGTTGGGAGCCAGAGTCGGTGGAGAGATGCTTCAGGTCCATGACCCAAGCACAGGGCAAAGCCAAGCTCCCCTCCCCGAGTGGAGGAGAGGCCCTGACACACTCCAAGGTCCCACACCAGGCACCAGAAGTGCTTCTGTGGACAGAGACCTCGGCAGGCTCATCTGTGTTGATGGGGTCTGCCAGTAGTAGTTGCTCTTTTCTTAATTTTTCCCTTGAATTAGATTTCATTCTTCCCCTGCTCATCTGTGGAATCCAGAGCATTTCGTCAAACTACGTTCGTAAGTTAGTGCCATTTGTGTGACACAGCCAAGAATGACAAGAAGTCACAAAGGGTCAAGAGAGAGCCACTGCGTCTTCCTTAGAAGGGGCGCCGGAGAAACACGCACTCCTTTAGGTCAGGGCCGTTTCTGCAGGGCCCGCATGTGATGTCTCCTGCAGTTAAATGTCTTAGTATCACAGAGGTAAGAGCCCCAGAGCCAGCCTAGCTGCTCCTTGGGGAGCATCCTGACTTGACTTCTACAACGTAGTGTTCCTGGAATTTGCTAAATTCATGATTGCTGAGTAGGAAATGTTCATTTCCACAGCAAGGAACAGAAAAGGAGTGATTCCCTCTGCTTTCAAAGCACAGATTTCCAAATCCGTTTCATTTCCCCTCCAGAGATGACCAAATTACCAGATCGGGGGATCCTTTGAGGCTCCCAACTTCTCATCATTCAGTGTCAGCGGCTCAGTCTGGCCAGCAAAGTGGTCAAGGGGCTCTAACACGCACAATTTCTTTAGGAAACATTCATTATTCTCCATGTATTTTTTTCAGTGTGCAGATGTGGACGATAATGACTGGGACATATCATCCTTAGAGGAAGAGAAATCTTTGGGGAAAAGAATTGGAAGAGAACAGAAGGAAGCTCCACCTGTGAAGAATGAATCAAATTCTACTCAAGTGCCAAGTGCCTGGGGTGCAACTAACCAGAAAGGGCCAAAGGGAGAAGGTTCGCTGCTTTGGTGTCTAGCAGAAGCCTTTATAAATATCTAAGCTATGCTAATATATTATCAGACAAAAACACCGTTGGCATAACAAAGATCTTGCTTTCCTTACATTATTTTAACAAGGACGGAATGTGAACAACTTACTGATTTGTATATATTTACTAATTTTCTAAAATTTAATTTTAGGTCTAATCCTTAGTCTTTAAATTTCTAAAATACCTATTTTTGAAAATGCCCATATAAATAGTCTCTTCATGCAGATGCCTCATGGAAATTTAAATTTCTGATCATATACCTAAATGAGGCCACTTTTTCTGACTGTCTTCCTGTATTCATCTGTCTACATGTTAAATATTTTTATTTTCTTCCAAGGAAGATTCTTCTTGTAGCACTGTAGCCAGTGGGATGAATGACAAGTGAAACCATCCACTGCTATTGTTCCTATTCACCCAGGCTAGAGTATGGGTAATAAGTCCAGTAACTTACCTCTCAACCCATTTAATTTTTAAAATCAGAAAATATAATTTGTATTTTTTCTATCAGAGTAATTCTTCTCCACTCCACCTCTCAGCCTTTCTTCATCTGTGCGTCCAATGAGCCGTGCCTCTGAGTAACGGGCTCAGACCCCTATTTCTAGGCTCACTGACTTTAGACATGAACTGTGGAAGTTCTGCTAAGACAGAGGAGGATTTGACTCCTTCCCCACTCCCTGCACCTCTCATGCCCCCTCTTCAGGATTTTTGTTCCCACATCTGTAATTTTAACAAATACGTGCACATCTCTACTTGCTCTGTCTGTCTGTAGCAGGGTCTCCTGCCTCATCCCCACCCCACCCCCACCGCCCTTTGTAAGATGAGCCATTGCTGCCTCTACCTTCACTTGACCTCTTTTCTCCACCAACGTGTCAGTCATAACACTGACCTTCTGTTCTGTCACCGTCATAAGTTTTCTGTGCTTTGTCTCAAGATCCATCCTAATCTTTGAAAAAGCAAAAGACATGTTTATGCTACGGCGACTCTGTGAGGACACAGGGCCAAGAGGATGCCCTGAGTACATTTCCTCCCTCCGCCCCAATGTCATGGCCCCACACCCCTTAAAGAAACATTTCTGGAGTCACATGCAAGTGGAATTCTCAGCCCTCTCCTGTTTCAGTGGCTCAAGGCACTTTTGAACTAACTTCATGTTTAAGCTCATCTACCCTAGAAAACCTGGGGTACCGTTTTACCATTTAATCCCTCCTTGGCTTGTTAATTTTATTCTCCTCTCTTTACCGCTGCCAGCCTCCAGGCCCTGTGCTGAATGCTGGCAAGGGGAGGCCGGGCGGAAGCTTCCCTACGAGGGCCCCGTGAGGCTACCCCAGGGACGTGGTGGGACTGTCCACAGCCTCTTTCACAGTTTGTAGGAGCTAGGGGTGGGGTTTCGAGCAGACTCAGACACGAGTGATGAATTACTGTCTGAAGTGGAGGATTTTTTACAGGCTGGACAGTGTGCTTGTTTCATCACTGGGGCCTCCCCCGCCCCCTCTCTCCCTCCACAGGACCTCAGGATGAATGCAGCACATTGAAAAGCAGCTTAGTAACCGTGACTGACTGGAGTGACTCTTCAGATGTGTAACTGTCACCCCACGCATCAGGAGGCCCTTCCAGACGCCAGCAGTATTGCAGAACCACAGTCTTTCAGTACTGCCTACACGACTCTAATGCTCCTGCTTGGCAGTATCTCCTACAGTAACAAGGAAGCTGACTCTCCAAGAACCAGAGTCCCTTTTGTGGCACCTAATGCAGTTATTACAAAACAAACTGTCAGCAGTATTTTGAAGCATATAAAGGTGTTTAAGACTGCTGCTTAAAAATAATGTGTCGTTGAAGTCATAAAAAGTTTTTTCTTCAGAACGGCACTCTAGTGTTTGTTTAAGTGTATTTTTTTTTCAACTAATCTTTAAGTGAATTTTTTTTTAAACTTCTTATAGCAGGTTTTGGTTTGAATTAGAACCTTTTTTTATATCTTTCTTATGTATGTTGTCACGTTGGATGCGTTTTATTATAAAGTTCTGTTAGTGTCCTTAAAATTGAATTAGTGGAATCAGTGAAATCTTAAGAGTAGATTGCTTATTTTTCATATAGAAGTTTAGAGTTATAAAAATATAGCTAGGCCCACGTTAGATAACTCCATTTTCCAGAAGTACTTTTACCATATGCAGCTTTGAGCCATTGTAAGCATGTCGTTTTATTTTAGAACTTTAAATACCATTTCTGTGGCATCATCTTTACCTTGGATATTGTATGAATAAAATGTAGCCAGTTTAAATGTCAGTTAATTTATCTATAAACAGAATAGATCCAGTCAATACTGAATTCATATGTGTCTGTAGTTTTTTTCACTTTTTTTAAATGCCCAACCCATATTCTAAAGTACCTCAAGACTAACTTAATTTTATTCTTAACAATGACATTGTCAACATTCAAAAAGTTCATATAAACTGTTTTCTGCATTTTTTATACTTTGTGGTACTATCTGTACTCTGTTTCCAAAAAAAAGTTACATTTTAACTAAATGGTTTTTTGGATTTTGGATCCTTCTTCATTTTGCCAACCTTTCAAGTAAAGCCCTCCATTACATCCTTGTGACTGTGGCTGAGTTATTAGAGCTGATTTCCGAGTTAGGCTTATCTCGTTAGAGAATTTAAGCTTGCCTTGGTAGCTGTGCCATGTAAACACACTGACCTAAAAGTTAAAACAATGTTTTATCTGTTTCTGCCCCACCAGAGTCCTTTTTACTTGTGGGCCACTCTCACAAGTAAAACTTCCCACAAAGGCCAATTTTTTAATTTTTAAAAACTTCCCACAAAGGCCAATTTTATGCAGATGTACTCACTTTATAAGTTTCTAAAAGCTCTAATAAATGCTGAATCAAATCTTCATTGTAGTAGGACAGAGATGAGCAACCTACAACAACGCCTAAGAAGGAACCCAGGCCCTTACATTCACTCACTTATTCCACAGAGATCTGTTGAGCTCCTTGTTTGTTTGTTTCTAACATGCATTATTAGTTCACTTATAGAACAACTTTGAGACAGTTATTATAATTTTCTTGAAGATGTGAGAAACCGTTATACAATAACTTGCCAAAGCCATACACTTAGAAAGTGACAAAAGTAGGCTTTAGACCGGGTCTCAAATCCAAGTCCTGGGTCTGCCAGGTCTTAATTCCTGAGCAGAAAGGGTTGGAGAAATATGATGAATGTCTGCTAAGGAAACCCAACAGTTATGTTGAAAAGACCGATCCTTTATCTGTTAGTCCTGTCATTTTAGATTGCACTAGAATTGGCGTGTTCGTTTTCCTTTGGGCTATCGCCTTAGATTTCTCCTCACTGACACACAGCTAATGTGTTTCTGGCTACTGACACAGTGTTTCTGTACTTTGACCCCTTCTCTCCGTAAATTCTTCAGAAGCTAGAACAGTTCAGTACAATCAAAATATGTCTTCACCAGTACAGCTCTGTAAATTTGTTTTAAACACACACTCACAAAACCCGGCCCTGCCACTGGCCTGTAGCACCTAACCTCCCTCCACGGCTTTCAGTTCATTTGTGTCCCTGGAAAAGGTATTCAAGTATTATTATGGTCTGGAAAAAAAATCATATATATATATATATATATATATATATATATATACACACACACACACATATATACATATGTACATACATATATATGTGTGTAATAAACTTTTTCTTTCATTGAGCACTTCCAAACAATGTGATTTTCCTTTTTAAGTCTTTCACGCTTGAGGAAAATGAAAATGTTACGGTCACCCATACTGTGATTAGTATTGGAAAGGGTCTGACTCATAGATTTACACAGACAACCAATTATCCAAAGCTTGAGACTGTATATTTCACACTAGACTGCCTCAGTTCAAAGTCGTGGTTTTGTCACTCGCCGCGGCAAGTCACTTCAACCCTCTGCTTTCATTTCATCCCCTGCCAGCTCAGGTTGCTACAGCACTTACCTCAGGGGGCAGTTATGAGGATGAGTGAGTGAGGGCACACGCAGACTGAGATAACTATCGCCCTTACGGGCATGAGGTAAAGGGGCTGGCCCTAGAAATAAAACGGCGTCTGGTCAGAGGTCACTGAAACACGTCTTGAAAAATGCTGTCTCTCCATTACCGGTTAGTTCCACGCACACGACCTGAGCGACACACTGGAACTTTGTCCGTTATTTCTGAACGGGGCAGGTACAATGCAGCTCCAGGCCTTCCTCTGTTGGCCCCAAAGTCGGCCATGACGGGCGTCTACAGCTCTGCTCTTGCCGATGCCCCACCCCAGGATCTGCTCTCTGTACTGGAGAAGCCGGAGCAGTTATTTAAAGCGGACGTGCCAGGCGATGGGCAATAGCATTTGGCCCTGTTAGCCCTTGCTGGAGCAGCCGTGGAGAAGTACGGGGGTGACAGACAGGGGTCAGAAACCAGAACTCGGCTCTACGCAGCCAGTACATGTTCGTTCAACCCAAACATCTGAGGAATAGTCTCAGATTGCCCCCATACTGTTTACAGGACACGACTCCTTATACACCTTCTGTTTAATATACGAAGAAAAAGAAACAAAAAATGGAGACAAAGACTGCAAGGTCTGAATGATTAAGAAGGCTACGTTACGAATACTGGAATCTTTGGTGCTAAATACATATACATATTTTACGATGTATAAAATATATACAAATCCTGTAAATAGCCTGTTTATTTTTTATAGAAAGCCACAACAGAATATGATCAGTATGTAACTATGTAAGAACATTTACATCCGATAATCAACAAGTTCTTCAAATTTGTATTTTAAAAATAGTTTGAGTGTTAATTGTAGGAGGGCCTTGATGGCAGCATTCTGTGAACAGTTCACGTTTAAAACAAGCTCAAGACACGGCTAGAGGGCAGTGCTCTTTTTAGACGTAAGCGTTTTTATCAAACTGTTTTGAAGGGTTTGTGGTTTTAAAATCTTCTCCACCGTGATACTTTGTCCGAGAAGACATGATAGATGTGGCCCCATTGTATGTGTATCCCATTCTGCAAGGCAAAACACAGTTTGGTAGATTGTCTTTTACACGTAGGTCAAACAAAAATGGGAAGAAACCATTTTGCCCCTACTTCCATCATAGCTAAGTTTGTCTCCCTGATTACTTTTATCTTTCTTCCCTTCTGTCTCTCCCCAAGAAATATTTCAATGTCATTTCTGAACAGCTGCTGTGACCAAGAGAATCTGCAGAAGAAACTCATGGCTTCTTAATTTGTTCAGTTACTCTCCTTCAAAACTTATTTAAGGACTTCCCTGGTGGCGCCAGTGGTTAAGAATCCGCCTGCCAATGCAGGGGACAGGGGTTCAAGCCCTGGTCTGGGAAGATCCCACATGCCACGGAGCAACTGAGCCCGTGCGCCACAGCTACTAAACCTGCGCTCTAGAGCCTGCGAGCCACAACTACTGAGCCCATGTGCCACAACTACTGAAGCCCACACACCTACAGCCCGTGCTCCACAATAAGAGAAGCCACCGCAAAGAGAAGCCTGTGCACCGCAACGAAGAGTAGCCCCCGCTCGCCGCAACTAGAGAAAGCCCACGCACAGCAACGAAAATCCAACGCAGCCAAATAATAAATAAATAAATTTATAAAAAAAGAAAAATACTTATTTAAAACTCATCTTCCTGGAAACTAGGAGACTGTGGTGACCTTAATCAGCAATTTCTGCCTATGTGAAAATTCTCATGAGGCCAAAGTGAAGAATATACCCCCAGAGTTAGACCCAGATTTCTACTTACATCAATAGCTTTGGAATGTAAGAATGTCAAGCTCTGGGTTTTTTTTAATGAACTATAATTATATTTATTCTATTCAATATAATATTTACTATATTAAATGTCATATTTAGTATATATTCCTAACCTTTCCCAATTCTTGGGGTTTTGTTTTTGTTGTTGTTGTTGTTGTTTTGCGGTACACGGGCCTCTCACTGTTGTGGCCTCTCCCGTTGCGGAGCACAGGCTCCGGACGCGCAGGCTCAGCGGCCATGGCTCACGGGCCCAGCCGCTCAGTGGCATGCGGGATCTTCCCGGACCGGGGCACGAACCCGTGTCGCCTGCATCGGCAGGTGGCTCTCAACCACTGCGCCACCAGGGAAGCCCCAATTCTGGGTTTTTGAAGTTTCTAAGAATCACATGAACTATCTATAATTTGTCCCACGTGTAACAATTTAGAATAGTACTGTACTTTTTAACAGGCCATTTTTGTCTCTTTTTCATACCTGGGTGCTTTGTTGTTGTCAGATATTGAAAAGCAAAATATGACACCACCAATTATGCAGAGTGAGGCTCCTGCCCATCCAATAAACAGAGCAGCTCCTAATTCATACCTGTGAAGAAGTATCACACAAGTATAAAAGCTTACTTATTTGGGGAGTAAACAACGTTTAACACTACTAGCCAACACTTATTAAATGCTCATAATACATTTTTGCTATTGGAGCTTGTACAGGAAGTAATAACATCTGTATAATGCTTTAAACTTTTTGCAAAGCGTTTTTATAGCCATCACTTGACTATATCTTCCCAACATCCCAAAAGGAAGATGAAAGCATCGCTGTGGGCAAAGCAGGAGCAGTCAACTCAAGCTGGGGCCTCCTGGCCAATCAGCATCTTTCCTCTGGGCTCTGCCTGAAGCTCACAAAGGTTTCCATCTCTTTATTCTGTCACGCAGGCTAAACCATTAAGGCAGACTCCAGTTAGAAAAGGGAAAGTTGCCTTTGCTTTTATTTTAGTTCAACTCAGTGTTTATCAAGCACCCGCTGTGTGCAGTCATGTGCAAGGTACTGAAGGGTGGCAGAACATGCCACCCCAAATGTGCCACTTTGGCAACAAGGATTATTTTGAGCTGAAAGCAACTGAGAAGAAACAGATACGGGGAAAGCTCTCTGCCTTCCCCCCATTTGCCTAAAAGCAGGACATAAATTTGTAAAGCTGTTCCCTATCCCCTCTCTGCCAGGAAGGAGAGAAGTTAATTCCCAGAGACACTGTACATGTTGCTCAGCCCACAAATGGCACCAGAGCAATCTATGTAACAAACTTCACTAACTCATCTTCCATTAGTTCCCTCATCACGTGCCTTCCCATAATTTGTGCCTCTAGAAGCTCAAAGTCTTTTTCCTTTGTCTTGCCACTTCTCTACAAATGTATTGTTCTTTTGTTAAGATGCTATATAAGCTCAAGTTCTAGCCACCCCTTTGAGTTACGCATCACTGGGTACTCCCATGTGTATGTGTGACGCACATGTTAATGAACTCTGGTTTTCTCTTATTAATCTACCTTTTTTTCAGTCTAATTTACAGGGTCCCAGCAGAGAATCTAGGAGAGTAGAGGAAAAAGTAGTTTTTCTTCTTCTACAGTGTCAGTGAAAGGTCAGTGATAGGTACAGCCTCATCTTGCTTATCACTACAATCTAGTGAGAGATGAATAAAAAATAACTATAATTTAGTGACAGATTGCTGTGAAGCATCTCCTAGATGGCAGGCCATAGTACTCTGCTCATGACTAGAACAGATGGAAAGATAAGACAGCCCCTGACTTGGAAAGGTCACCATACAAATGTACAAATATCGCTACTGAGAACAACAAAGGAAATCACAGCTGCGTGCTGGAGGAAACCCTTTTAGGGGAGGAATATATATACATTATATATACATATATATATATATGTTTCAGAGAAACAAATAAGGAATGAGGAAAGTATACCAAATCTCGGGCTGTAGTGTTCTCATGTCTGCCTATCCTCTTCCTGAAGAATAGGGATTTTTTTACTTTTATCCTTTTTTCTAAATAAAGAAGTGATTCTCAAACTCTTTGAGCCCACAGACCGCCATCACAAGGCAAAAACTGATGGACGACATTCCCTACCTAATGGTGCTTTTCAGTGTCAAATGAAGTCAGAGTGGGAAGGGTCTGTTTGGATCATACAGAATCCACAGAGGGGCTGAGAACGGAAAAGAAGAGGTGAGAGTAAGAGGGGAAAGCCAGGGCCAAGGTCAGCTTGTCCCCCTGAACCAAGTGCAGGGCCAGAGCCAGGCTTAGGTGGCCAGCAGCTGGCGTGAGTGACCTGTGCCTGTCCTGAGCTTTGCCTCATCCTTTTCTACATGCTGTGGTGCTACGTCTGAACTCCCATCTGGGCAGGCGCAGGCAGCAGTGGTGGTGTGACAGTGTGGCCCTGGCCCCCAACCAGCAGGAGCAGGAAGCAACATTTACACAAGATGAGGGCCGTGTGGTCCACGTGCCCATTTCCAGATCCGGCTTCTGAGGTACTTCACAGCCTCCATTTGCAACTGGGAATGGGTGACGTACACAGTACACGCTGCCTTGTGATCCCTTCTTTTCTCACACTTGTGTTGCCTTCCCTGGGAAATCAAATTGAGAGCTAAAGGAAGGAACAGCTGTAAGCACCTCACCCTGCCCTGGAGAACTGATTAAGCTCTGGGAACCGAGAAACTTCTTGAACTGTTCCAATCAGACACAGTAGCAGAAACAGAAGGTTGACGTAAGTGGGGAAAAACCCCTTCGGTCTGCACAAAAACCAGCTCAAAGAGGACTGAAGAGTGAAGGGCACAGGTGAAAGCAAAAGAGCTGGCCAGATCAAGTGTTAAACTGGTAGTTTTATAAAAGATACCTTCATTAAATATCATGTTACACATCTAAAAAGGATATCCTGGATGTCCACAACCAGCCCTTCTTGTATGATGTTTGGATGAGATTACACAAATAAAACGAGCAGAGGGGCTGCCAAGGTGTAGGTGCCTGTCACCGGACCTCTTTAGACATCTGCAGTTCCCACAGCAAGCTGGCATCAAGTCCGTCTGCTGTCATCCTTTTACTGCAGAGACAACTAAAGGATGAGCGTAGTGAAAATTTCTACTTGGAGGACATGAATATCGGATTACAATTTAATGATACTTTCTATTTTTCTTTATTTTTCCCCCTAGAGCTTAGGCTGTTTTCTCTCCTGAAACTATGCATTAGTATTTAACTCTCAGTATAAATACTCCTGGAAGAAACAGTCTGAGACTTTTTCCAAAATATTTAGCTTTCTAAAATAGGATGCCAGTGCCAGGCATCATGGTTAAAAGTAAGTCTCTAATTATTAATAATAGTCCATTACGGGTTAGGGTTGTAGAAATCAAACCACAGCTCGGCACTATCAATTCATTTAAAAAGAGCAGGGACTTCCCTGGTGGTCCAGTGATTGAGAATCCAGGCTCCCAATGCAGGGGGCCCGGGTTTGATCCCTGGTTAGGGAACTAGATCCCGCATGCCACAACAAAGGTCCTGCACACGGCAACAAAGATCCAGCGGGCCACAACTAAGACCCGGAGCAGCCAAATAAATAAATAAATATTAAAAAAATAAAAAGAGCAGGGGCTTCCCTGGTGGCACAGTGGTTGGAAGTCCGCCTGCCGATGCAGGGGACGCGGGTTCGTGCCCCGGTCCGGGAGGATCCCACATGCCGCGGAGCAGCTGGGCCCGTGAGCCATGGCCGCTGAGCCTGCGCGTCCGGAGCCTGTGCTCCACAGCGGGAGAGGCCGCAGCAGTGAGAGGCCCGCGTACTGCAAAAAAATAAATAAATTAAAAAAATTTAAAAATAAAAAGAATAAAAAGAACATACAAATGTGTAGAAATCAGAGAATAAATTACCCAAGCAGTTCAAATGTTGGAAACTCTGTCTTTATATTCATTTAAGCATCTTGAAACTTTCTGAGGGGACTTAAGAATCATGAGTTTGGCTTGTATCAAAAACTGGTTCACTTATTCCTGTTTTTAAATATATTTTTAGATTTTCTTGAGGTCACTAAATATAGACTCTATTCCAAGGAGAATATCATTTCCTTTTGAACTTCTTATGAATTCTGTCAAAGACAAACATCTAATAAACAGAACCATTTCAGAGCTGAAGTCTTTAAGAGATTCCACGTCTATACCAATAATTTTTAACAATTTGGATGTGAGGGCTTTTGTGACTTGGTTCTTTCTCTTACAGAGACTTTTTCTTCTTCATTCTGTTGAAAGACACGTATAGCAGACTTATTCAACAGTGACTTGAATTCACACCCATCAGTGTACGTGATCTGGCAAAAATGGCCTTGTATTATTGAAAGACAGGATTGAAGGTAACATCCACTCGTTTGTTCTGGGCAACGTCTCCTTTAACATTTATCAGGAAACTCTTGTCTCTGCCTGGAAATCTTTCTTCATTTTTGGTAACAGGAAGAAGCAGACTTCAACACCTTAGATGATTAGCCAAATTTCAGATGATCTGTTGCAGGTCTGTCTTTTGTTAACAATATCCTCCTGGCCCTAGACCAGCTTTCCCACTAGGAGAGCGGCCTCTTTATCGAGCTGTTAAAATCACCAAAGTTTCTTCATTATTCTGAAAGGCTATCAATTTGCTTAGCACCAGACAGATCCAGGACCGTCAGGCTAGGGACATAACTTCGTTTTACAGATCAGGACACTGCTTTTGGAATATCTCTCAGACATTCTGCTCAATGGATAAGACTCATCAAAGCTGGCTTATTACCTTAATTCATGTATATAATTGAATGTGAATCTAGTAAACAATAGGGAAAATTTTCTCTTCTATACAGAGAAAGTAAAACACAGACTGATCACTTATTATTTTCCCAAAAAAGAACCATAAAGATCTAAGGCATTAAAATGTACCCTGAATTACTAGATGAAGTTAATTCTTATTCACCTGGCTGTACCTGGGGCTCCCAGCTACTGGTCACATGTTCATTTCCTGTTGAGAGAGCCTGAGCTAGAACCACACCTGGCCTAAATTCTGATGCATTTCATACTTCGCCTCCTATTTCAGCCTTGTAACCTGCACAGTAATCCTGAGTGAATGGATTGAGGGACACCTCTTATTTTCAGCTACTCCCTCTGTCTCTCTTGCACCCAATCCCCTGTTGTGACTTGATTTGCCATCCACGGGGAGCTGGTGTAGCCTACCCTGGTCACCAGCACAGAAATGACAGGCCAGGCATTGTGCGAACCATGTGTTTCAGGATGGATGAGAGAACACAGCTATGGTCTCAAGGATCTTACAGTCTAGTGGGGATGGTCAGACATTAAGCAAATGATTATAGTAAGCTGTGATGAAACTTAACAAGAGAAGCAGAAGAGCATGTTTTTGTAAAGTAAACATTACCTGTTCTCCCAAATCTGTATAGATGTGATTCAAGTAACTGTCCACCACCACAATAGCTACTATTACTATCAGCTCACTGTACTAGGGTTTTGTCTTGTGTGCTAAGTTGTTTTGGCATGTGTTATCATATTTGATCTTCATTACGATCCTGAGAGAGAGGTC